AGGCCCTTTTACTTTATAAAGGCAAATTATGACACTACTGCTTTTCTCTATTGCTTAGCCTAACGGCTTTTTTAAACCTTTATGTATGTCATCGCGAGATTAGTTTAAAGAATTTGTGCTTATTAATTCCGTTGTTGGATTTTCTCAAATATTTTGCCAAAAAGCGCTGAAAACCGTGTTCCTCTGCTTACCTTTTGTTTGGAAAATTTAGCGAAGAGACGGCGCCCTTTTGCAAACGCATTTCCAAAATCCCGCTTTGAGTTTTGACAAATTCTTAACGAATATATTAGATTAACGTCAAGATAGATTATGATGTAAAATGAAATCAGTTATAAAAGTCGAACAACGTGCTTTTCGAATTGTATATTTAAATGTCTTCGAGTTTCTTTTAATTGGACGTTGTACAAACAACCATTGGCATAAAAGATTGTCCAAAAACGGTTTTGACAGCTCATTACAAGCTGTTTAGGAGACAGGAACATTAGACCTATGTTTAGTAGTCAAGGCATTTGGAAGCTCTCCCCAAAGCTGACTGCTTACAAAAAACTTAAATCTTTTTTATTTCCAATGTTTATCTCTCCCCGATGAACGGTATACTTTGAACTATCATAACTGAGAAACCATCGTAATTCATAACATGGCTTTGAAAAAAGCAAGCATTTTTTAACATAATGGCCAAAAGCTTTTTCGTCTGACACTCCTCAGAGCACAAAACGTCAGAATGAAGGTCTGAGAGAACACAATGAAAAATATATACCCAGTTATATTATATATCCAAAAATATATATCCACAACTGGGTATATATTTTTCATCGTGTTCTTTCGAACCCTTTTTCTGACGTTATTCCTCTGATGAGTGTCAGACGAGAAAACTTTTAGCCATTATGTTAAAAAATGTTTGCCTTTTCCAAAGCCATTTTCAAATTCTGTACTGCCAAAAAACTGTTCACATAATTCATAACAGTGAAAAAAATTTCCTCTTAATATTAGTGTTATGCAATAGTAAGTTTCTTAAATTTCAATTGGGTGCTCTGCAAGAGCCAATGGACAGAACAGGCACTTTTTTCATAGTTGGTTTTTCTTAAAATTAACAATCGTCAAAACTTTTTCGTAATTTTTTCTTAGAAAATGACCAAAATATTTGCAGGTAGCTCCATTGGTAGATTTTGACAATTCATTTCCATAGATATGATTAAACTTTATGGCAACGTGCCCAAGCAGGTTCACAATTTCGAGCAACCACAAAATATTCTATGTCTTGCTTTTCTCGGCCTTCTGACATACAAAGAGGTACTTTTCAATTTGTAACCCGACAAATTTTTTATTGCTAATTTTCTGGCCGGGCTGGTGTTCTCCATTTAATCGTTAGGAAGACGCAGCCCGGATGACCGGCCCAGCCCTGACAATCTGGCCCGCCCGCTCCATGTAATAAGCCCCTAAAAGGTTCCTAAAGTCATTAGACTTTGAGCGATTTGAGTTTCTTATGATTTCCTTATGGCAACCCTGGTGCAAACAAAATTTTCAAAATCAAGTTTTTGAAGCCTTTTTGAAGCCGAGTTGTCTCTTTTCAGAGGTAACAATAGTAGAACGATATGATTCCTTCTGGTCTCAAGATCTTTGTCAAATAGACTGAGCTAAATGTGGAACTCAGTTTTAAACGAAAAGAATACTCCCTAACTTTACAAAAATTAAAGAAAAAATCAAAGAATTTTTATCGTTATGTGGTCTTTGCAAGGAATACGTATGTATGCAACAGCAGTTATATTTGATTTAAATTATATTCAGCGTTGGTAATCTAAATAAGTTTGCTTTATCAAGCTTGAATATAGCTACAGAGTGTACCAACTTTAAATAAAGAAAGAAAAAACATTATGTTCACAGGAGTTATATCCAAAAGTTATATCAAGCCATGTAGATGGTCGTCGGAACAAAATTTTGAGGTGTCAAAATTTTGAGAAAGCAGTTTGACTGTAGTCATGATTCAAATGTAATTTTTATGGGTATTGCCTTCATTTCCGAGAGTCTGTAGAGCGTAGCGACGCAAAATTTTCCTAGGGGCTATGCCCCAAAAACACCGAGCCTCTCTCCCTTGACAGGGCCTTCACCTACAACCAGGCTTTGTCATTGACTAAACGACGATTGCCGACCTGTTTCGTCAGCAAACTTTGACACCTCAAGGTGCCCTTTCTGCAGTTCCTGCCCCCGCCGCATCACGAAGCTTACGGCGCTTCTGGTGCGGCGGCTGTTAACTTTCCGTTTGTCAAACTATTGTTATTATAATGTTGAGTACAGAATCTCTCACCTAAAATTCTTTTTAAAAAGAATAAAGTTCTACAAGAAACATCCTTAAATGAGCTGTTTTCAGATATTGATACAGGACCGTAAGATATAATTTTGGACAGGAGTAGCACAATATTAGTCGAATTCGCACACTAAATAACGATAAAAAGTTTCTTAAGTTCCTCTTCTTTCTTCCTTTATTTCGTTTACAGCAAACATGATTACTATTCGAATAACGTTGTAAATTGTCTTTGGAAGATATTGACGCTTAGCTATTACCGTAATTTTTTGCCATAAATGTTTTATGATAATCTTTAATGGGCAATAATCATACGATATAATTTTGGGCAGGAGTAGTACACCCTTAATCTACTTCGCACACAGTGAAAATCTTAAAATTGAAGGCAACGTAATACCACGACTCAATTCAATCAAGCAAGGCGTTTTGAGCTGGCTTATCATATATTGAACATTACATTGTTGCAGGAATATTGAAAGGAATAGGAGACGAACATTCTCCGATATGATATCAGGTCTTAGGCGTGTTATCTTGAATGGAGCTGTTTCTGTCACGATATGACTGTCACCGTGTTGCCACGGATCGATAGCAGAAAGATATGAGAGATAGCTTCTGGAGAAGGTGCGTTTCCATTAGATACGAATCTCGTTCTTGCATTTTGCGTCGATTTGGTTATCAAAATTTGCTTCCTGAATATTCAGACGGATTTCAAAAATTTAATGAATGTCAAACAACATGTTGAAAAGATAAAAACTCAGTATCAGATTGGTACAATTTTTCTGGAATAAAACGTCTACAAGTACCTTCCAATAGATTCTGATCCTAGCGATACGCTTTGAAAATACAGGTTTCAAAATACGTGCCATTTCGACATCACTAGAAATTTAAATATCTGCATTCATTTTTGTTTCAAATTACAGTCATATTCAGTTGTAAAGCTTAAGCTAAAGTAAGATTTTTAGCTACAGAGCTGAGAAATTTCGGTTTATTCCAACAACTATCTGAATAAAACATTAAGTCTTTTCAAAAAAGGTATTGTCTTCGGAAAGCAAGGGAAGTTGGCGTGACTGTTACCTAAGCATATTCAACATCAATGACAAAGCAATCATCGTAAAGAATGAATAAATATATGTATTTCATTAGGACAAACAAGTGTAAACATTTGTCAGTAGAGTGGTATTCGATTGAGTCAACGTTGTACCAGATTCGAGATACGTTGCGAGGAAGGTTTTTTCTAAAAAAATTATTTGCCCAACTCAGTAATAATAAGGAACACAGAACCAAAATGACTGGATATTTTTGTTCGGTCTTAATGTATTTTATATTTTCCTTGATGCAACAAATAGAAACTTTTGATGGCATGATTTAGTTTGAAAATTTTATTAAAAGTTAACATGCTTGAAACGTTTGTGAGGATGGCTCAGAGGGGAGATTCGTGTGCTACAAATCCAAGGGTCTGGAGCCGAGTTCCTGAAAAGACCAAAGTTTTTCTCTCTGTCATTCGTAGCATGAGAATCATGAGGTGTGTTTAGATTGAGAGGAAGGAGCAGGACACCGGACGGTAAACCTAAGGTAGAATCAATAAACGAAACATTCAGAAACATTTAGCATAATTTACTAGAAATATACTTATTATAAAGGCACTTGTCAATATACTTATTAATACTTATTAATGCCAAGCAAATCAATTCTTATAATTCCCAAGAAGCTTGATAGCAGAATATATTGGAAATGGGACTCCAAGATTGAAATGGAAATCGGAAAGGGAAGGATTGCCATGTCTAAGCAGGACTTTCAGAAATCGGATATAGTATTGAAAGATAGAAAATGTCAATGGAAACAAGAAAGAGGATACTTCGCTAAGGAGGATATGTTTATTCCATCTTAACATATGACAGCGAATCTTGGATCGTTTCTGCTGAGATGGAAAAACGGCTAGAGGCCGCTGTGATGTGGTTGCTCAGGAGGAAGATGGGGACCTCCTGGGTAGACGATACTTCAAATTGAGAAGCTTTAATGAGAGCTTGAGGACATCTTATTAAGCTCATCCGAAAAAGGTAGTCAGAAGTCTTAGGACCTATTGTGAGAAAAGAGCAATTGGAAGAGATTACAACAACAGGCAAGCTTGAAGGAAACAAGGGAGAGGGAGACCTACCCGCCTGAATTACCAGACGAGTGTAAATAGATACAGGCCCAAGTACCTGTTGAGTGGGACACGCTACTTAGACAGATAGATTCTATATCATTATTTTTCAATTACAGTAGTTTTATCATCATTCCCTATGCGAAACATTTGTCACACCCACTGCACCATCCGATATGTACTTGTATGTATCGCTTCTTTGATCACAATAAGACAGGATTATTCAAGGATTTTGAATTATTTTTAACACGAAACTAAACTAGATATCTAAATATGTCTAGATACGTCTAAATGTGTCTATGACTTCTAGCAAAGGGGCAAGGTGAATAAAAATTCCTGTTTCAAATTTTATTTCAATATTGAAGAACAGGTCACGATTCTTGATAAAGTTTTTGATATTGTGTGATAAGATTTCTCCAGGATCTTTAGTAATCTCTAGATTTACATGCTTATAGATCATCTTAAGTTCTGTCAATAAGCTAGCTTCCCTATCAGGCATTAAGATATAATTAAGTCTTGACTACAGCTACACGAAAAGTTCGTCATATAATGACCAAAAAGGGAGAGAGTGATAAACAATCGAGAAAGTAAATTGAGATAGCTAAGTTTGATACTGTCATGATTCATGGGAGTCTTAAAACATTTAGCACAGATAAGATAGGACAACAATCTGGAAATATTAGAAGCTTATATGTTGCGTTCTTGATAAAGACATTGATAGATTTGCCTAAAGTATCTATGCCTTTAGACCCTGATAGAAGTGATAAAAAGTCATGCAAAAGATAGCTCTTGATTTGGAACTGTAATTACCTACCGGTCTTGCTTGAAACTTTAGAAATGCATCTTCTTCATGTTAGGATTTTTATAACTCTTCAACGAGATATTGCTATTCTGTCCCATCTTTTTGTTTCAACGACACTATAATCTAGAATTTATTTAAATTATCCTTGGTATTTTCCAAAGTACTCGAGTGAAAATGTGCTGGAAAGGAAAAGAGGAAATATTCTTTGAAAGCTGCAAAATTTGGTTGTATACTCAAGAGACACATTACTCGATGCACTTTAAAAGAAAACATAGAATCTTGCACAAACACAAACTTTGGCGGCAAGAAGATGGTTAACAAAGAATAGAATTGATAGAGAAGAGTGAAAAATATTTAAAAAATACATCATGAGAACATTTTAAAAACCTATAGCTATCATTACCAGGCCGTTACCAGTGATTGCAGCGAATGTTTTGATGAAGCTATCCAATATAAAAATCATAATTTGAAATTCTCCTGTTTAAAAACTTGCAGAATTGAGTTATGCAAAATCTTCTTTTTCGGATAGTTACGCTAATAAATACAACCAACAAAGACTCGAATGGGTAAGTATACTTTTTAAAATCAAAATTATATCATATTGTTTTATTTAAGAAATATTACGACCAGAATGACTCGGTTACTCTGACTATAAGGGAATCGAAGTCAGCGTTTTATGAAAGCAACTGATAAAACTTTGAGAATGGATCCTAGATATTCAACTAACACGATAATCACTCGTTGATACAGATAGAATAGACATAAAAAGAACAGCGTATTGCGTCTTTCTTTTATCGTAATTGTTCTGCAAATCATAACGAAAGCAACTCTTTAGAATTTATCTTTTGAGTTTGTTTGCCCAAAGAGTGGTTTTATCAATAGCATTTGGCGTTAAGTTGGTTGCCATCTGAATATTGTTATGAAAGGCGCATATGAAATCAATTTTCATCGCAAAACTGTTTCTTTGTTTATTGAATTAGACATGCTACAAGAGCCATAGAATCACTTCTAAAACACGTGCAAGTTCCGGATAGATTCAAACTTTAGAAATAAAAACGACAGGATAATCTCTCTAGACGTACAATGGGTTCCAGGATTTGCAAATAATAAATTTTAAAAGCAAGGAAACGCTAAAACGTTATACTATTGTTGTCATTTTATTGCAAAAATAAATATCCAAATTTTCTATGCATTTGCTTAATAAATACTATAAGATAATTTCGTTAGTTCACATAAAAAACCTAGTTTCGAAAGTATTATATTCATTAAATCATCTGTGTCTCCAAGATATGAACTGGAAGTAGCGAAATCACATCTTAAGCAATAACAAAGTAATCGCTTTTCAAACCAAATGAAAATCAGGAGGCATTCGAAATTTTGCCGAAAAAAGTCTTTAATGATGCAAATTCTAGTAAATGACTTTCATATATTCCTGCATGCACAGTGTTTGACACAATGAAGCTTGTAAAATATCCATACATATTGCAGTTATCCAGTACACGAAAGAAAAATCGTTTTCGTAAAGAAAACTTTAGGCTTAAATACAATTATCTCAAATTCTTCAGAAGAATACGTTCTCACACTTTCGTTTTGCCTACAGAAGAAGTTTTCCACCTCAGTCTGCCTTGATAAGATCAGTAGAAGATTGGGGATCTCATCTAACAGGTGACAAAATTACAGGAGCTGTTGTGATGGATTTATCAAAGGGTTGGACTGTTTCCCAACTAATCTAGAAATCGTTAAATTCTATAACAATGATTTAAGCATAAATTCACTAACATTAATTCAAAGTTACCATACATTTTAGTACCTTTGGCAACCTATCTAAAGGGGTACCCCTGAGTTCAATGCTAGGACCCATTCTTTTTAAAGTTTTCATAAGGGACATCTTTCTTGTTCTACGTGAAGGCTCCTTATGTAGCTTTGCTGAAGACAACACATTTCCCATTTCTGCTAATAATATTGAATATATTCGTAGGTTATTTAGATTAAATACAAACAAATGCATTGATTGGTAAAATTCAAACTAAGCGATGAGATGCAACCCGTCAAAATTTGAATCATTAGTAGTTAGTAAAATGGGCAAACACATTTGCAATAAAAGATGATTTCAGAATTAATGTGAGTAATGAGGTGACTCTTCTAAGAATCCAAATTGATAATCTCTTATATTTTGATTCACATATTGAGAATCGCTGTAAAATGGGTGCTTTGCAACTCGTATTGTCTTATAAGATTAGCACAGTTCATGGGCAGCAAGGAAAAACAGGTTATTTTAATTTAATTATTCAATTCTAACTATATCATGATATTTATACTATAGCCATCTTACCCATTGTCCATTTGTGTGGCTATTTTACGGCAAAAAAACCAAAATATGCAAAATATGCAACGAAAGCGCCTTACGTCTAGTCCTCCATTTACAATGACCTTTTGACGAGGTCTAGTGAACAGTGAACATGCATTTAATCAAGCTTTTCGCTCTTGAGAGGCTTGAAACTTTGCATAATTGTTTATGAAAGATTTTTTCTACGAAAAATCACATGCCATTACCTTGTGAAAATTATCTTTACATTGGTGAAAATTACCAGTTACGGTATTAAGTCGCTCAGTCACTTTTTGGGTCCACAGATTTCAAATTCACTACAAATTGGAATCAAATTATCCATTCAAAATTTTTACCGAAAGTTGGTTATGCTGCTTTTCAGCATGTGCTAATAATTCTGGCCTCCTGGAAAAACCAGACACTAAGACCCTAGGACCCTGGGATCCTGGGACCCCTAGGACCCTTATGTACTGAATAGAAAAAAATATCCTTAACTATAAGAGATGCCACCACTTACGCACAGCTTGGCTCAACCGTTAGGGCTGCCATTATGGTGTTCGTTTGATTACATAATGATTACATAACTGTACGGGGGTAATCATTACATAACTTTGGATGTTTTTTGAAAGTAGCTACGTTTTAGCCCAATAGGAAACAGAACTAGAGAGATTAGAGGTCAAAACTTAAACTTTTTGCATTTGTTGACGAGGACAAAAGTGTAATATGATGGAGTTTTGCAAGAAACATTTAAACATCTGTAAGCCAATAAATTGCTCAATAGGCGGCTCTACATAGAGGTGCTCAGACTCAGCAGCTGCCTTAATTCATGAGAATGTATGGCGTAATATATATCTCATGTAAAATCGCAAAATTAATCCTTTTATTTAATGGTTTTCCGAGAGTCTATCTTTGGGACTAAGTGTGACAACATTACAGCTGCTTATCGATGTATTGAACGTCTTAATTCCGACAGCAAGATAATCTGATGATTTAATGCATTATGTTATGGCATTTGTATTGGTTATTTTATCTTAATTTTTCTTGTAATATTATGACTATCAATGGCAATTTGCCAATTTTAAGCCAAAAAGGATGGATGTTTCGTTGTAAAAAGCTGAGTGTCAATTCAACTCATCTAGTTACTTCTTTCTACGTGTACTTAAAAAGCACAGAAGACAGAAGTTTTCATAGATTTTGAATTTAAAAAAGCCACCGCCAATCTTATAATGTTTATTAAAGAACACTTTGTTGCCATGAAAAGGAGACCTTTGCGATAAGCATCATTCAGGGACCCTGGAGGCGGGCTTGCTGACAGGCTAGCCCCTAATGTTCCCCAAATGGTTAAGCTTTTCATAATTTTAGCCCAAATCTCCATCTAAAATGCAACAATATTTCAGAATAATGAAAAACTTGGCTTGTTAGCCATTTTGCAGCTCGAGTGTGACTAGGTATTGACGAGGAGTTTCCAACTTTGGAAGCATAATGAATGTTGTAGTTGCTAGTAATATAGTCATTATGCTATTGCGAAAGTCTGCAACCATAAAATTAATCACTTTAAAGAAAAAACAGTACTGACAAACGATATTATTGAACGGGAATGGCTATCACACTGGTCGTGACTATGAATTCGTTTCGAAAAAGGTCTCGAAAAAAAGCATTGGCATTGACACGAGATGCCAGTAATCATGGTGAAGAAATTACATTTAGAAAGTTACGTTTCTGAAATGAAAATGGTTTCAATTCCATTGGTACATCTTTGATACCCATTGTTTTTCATTAGATTGGTGTACACTTGCAGTACTTGTCGGTACACTCGAGTGGCTAGAAATACTCTTGGTATTTGCCAGATTTAAGAAAGAGCGATTGCTTTATGGTCGTTCTATTTGCATAAGTTCTTACTTATACTTGTAATAACTTGTATACGTTCTACTTGTACCATGACCAAATTAACATGAAAACAACACAGTCACTATCGAGAATCATTGTTATAACGGGCTACGCTCAAAATATCGTTTTTTATTTTCTCTTCTTTTCCGTATTTTATTTTCTTTTACCTTATTTTAAAGTAGATTGTACCCATTGAGAAATGCTCACCATGTTTTTGTTCAGTGAAATTATCACTGATCAATGTGCAATAACCAGGAGGCAACACTTGTTGCAGTCAACAGAGCTAAGGGGAGTACTACAAGGATGCAAATCTGTACAGGCACACTGTCAAGCACAGTGTCACTTTAACTACTCCGTCTTGATGCTATTTTTTAATGCTACATACTTGTTTAAATGCTACATACTGCTTCCTCCCAAAAAATGATCTGGCTGGTATCGAAAAACGGTATTAATGACAACATCTGTATGCAACAAAATTACATATATAACCTATAAAAATGTATTCGGGTCAATGAAACAAAGAGCTCTCTTAAGGGCAACCAAAGTAACCATCGCAAATGCAAATCCCAGTGAAGCCATCAGCGTATATGCTCTGACGATGAAGATTAAGAGGAAGAGCCTTGGAGTCAGTTCTTGTTTCCCAAAATGAATTTGTTTCTTGGATGTCACCATCTACAGAACTTTCGACAGAGTTTTTTCTTTCCAGGTTTACCGTCCGCACAAAGTCCGTAAATCTAGATGGTCGCTTAGCGCTGGCCTGCTTTCTTTTGAATTTCGCCTTTTTGCTTTCTCTTACTCTTTTGGTCCATGGCAGATCATGAATTAAGGAATCAGTTGCAGAAATCCAGCAAATAGAGGTCGTGCTTGAATAGTTCGCCCGGTTTTCATAGGTAATATATTCGTCTTCTTGACCAGTATCTAAAATGTAAGTGAAAACTTGCTGAAACAAAGATGTAAGACTCTAAATTTTATCATTTTAGTGCTGTAATCAGAATGAGCGAATGACATAAAGAACTTCTTGCAAATCTTGCTTTTCTGGTTCTTCTGTGCGAGTGTCTTGTGTAAAGTGGAGGGGGGGGGGGGTATTTTTAAATTGCCTCAGAATATGGTAGCAAGCAGTGAAAATTCGACACTTTCTCTCCTCGTAGAGATATACCACTGTTTTGTTAAGACTATGATGATAATATTCGGTTCTGTTACAAAATAGGTGGATCAGTGGATCAAAATAGGCCAGTCAGAAAAGACGCGAATGATCAGTACAGTTGTCCAATCAGCGCTGCGTGCCAATAGAAAAATTACCAGTAGAGTCCAACAGAGAAAACGATCTTCTTCTGTCGACAAAATTCGTTTGTATGTAGATCAAAATACATAGCATGTTGTGAAATGTTTGTTTTTCAAAGCCATTTTTAAGTTCTGTACCGCCAATAAATTGTAAAAATAAAGTATTGTTTGCAGCTATTTAGCATGGAAGAAATTGATTGATTGGGTGGGCGATGCGTTGGCCATTTGTGCAGTCTTTTTAGGGATTTTGTGACTATGCTGTACAAATTCCCTCTCTTCTGTCAAATTTTTCTTCCTTTGTATCTTAATTTTTTTTTAATATTTGTGTCTTTGCTAAATGTAATAGCCGCAGGGTCGATATGTTTTTTCATGCTGGTATCGTCTTGTAATTGTTGTTTGTTATTGTAAATTTTATGAGAATATAAATAAAGCTCACAAAAAGTTTTACAGGCTTCGCAAGACCTTTAGATAGGAGCTTTTCATTTGGCATTCAAATTTCGATAAAAAGTTGCAAGTTTAAGACATTCCTAAATGAACCGGGCACTTTTCAAGAACAAAATTTTTGCAAGCGATCAACGTCGGTTTTAAGGAACCTATTTCATTCAAAATCAGATGAACCAGAAACATTTATAAACACTTGGTTAAAGAATTGGTGATAAAATTGATGCAATGCGAAGCAGAAAGGTCCCTGCTTATCCAGTGGCGGAAACTCAGGCTTTCATTTGGGGGGCCTAGGCCTACGATTTTCCTACAAGATAACATCTTGGATCACGTCTAATTTGAAACTGCACATTTCGAGAAAAATAGATGATTTTTTTTAAGGGACCCTTTAGAAATCTTTTCTGACCACACCATAATTAAGCAGCAAGAAGAACAATCCATTTATGAATTATGATATCAAGATCGATATCTCATCTTTAACAATTGATGATACAAGAGGTCGATCGATTACATTTTTGACAAGTCGTACGTTCATTTTATCTTGTTTTCGTCCGATAGAAAGACGTTTGAAAATAACGTTTATTCGAAAGAATCCGATGGAAATTTCGGCTAATCTTTACGGAATTGAAATTAAATATACAATTCACAGGCAGTTTGATTTTGGTCAGATATTGTTTGATTTATTATTTAGTACTGGCTAATATTTCATCAGTTATGCTATGTTCAAATTCTGCAAAAAGGGCACAGAGAGGTTATAAAGGCCCCTGGGGTAAAAAGGGAAAACGCAGATCACCTGCGAGCGAAGCGAGCAGAATATTTGGCAACTACGCCCCTTAGATTAGCTTAAAAATCCTTTTCAGAACGATTTCTTGGAGTAATTTCGACAAGTTAAACGGTTGTCAATTATCCGACGAAAGCCCGAATTTCCGACGACATCGCTAATTGGGGGAGCCCGCCCCCAAGCCCCTAAGTCTCAAGCCCCCAAGCCCCCAAGCCCCCATAGTTTCGCCACTGTGCTTGATGATTTCGCCACAAATGATCGTAGCTGAAATAAAAATTATAAAGCATTTTGTGAACCGAAATCAACACATGCGCTTGTGAAAAGATTGGCACAGTTGCCCGTGAATAATATACATCTGTGCCATCAATCAAGCAGGACAATATTGCTAGCGCGGCAAACTTTTGTACAAGCTGAAATCCTCTTTCTAATAATTTTTTTAATTTGATCGTACGAACACGTAAATAAAACGACAACATACCGCACCTGGCGTAAATGAAACGAAAAAAACCTAACGTGTTCACTATATCCCGATATCGTTTATGAATAAATAAGCACTATTAACTTTGGTTTTTATTAATTGGGTAGATATTGATAACAATACACCACGAAATGAATGACTCGTTTGGCGATGAAAGAGAGGCCAACAGCACGCAAAAGATAAGTATTCAAATATAGACCACCAAACTGACCAGGTACAATTGTGAAAAATCTTCACCTCCTCGCCTACTTTGTTAAATTGTTCCATGGGAATAACATGTGAATAACTAGAATCTCAGAATAAAAAGTTCAGATTTTTCAAGGAAAATTGATGTTTTCTCTTTCTTTTAAAAAATAACTTTTTTCCTTTCCTCCAATTCAATGTTGAAACAAAAATAAAAAACGATAGAACTACAAATCCAACACTGATTTGGCGGAAATGGGGAATTCAGATTTAAAGAGGCAACGTAAAGTAAATAATTCAATATATTGTATTTTGTTTCAACAATTTTCTCGGATATTGCAAGACCAACTGACGATGTTTCCTTTGTGGCTAAAAATTCTAGAAATCTTAGCAAAGCTGCGTTTCCTTGAAATATGGTATGCATTGAAGAGTTGCCATTTGTGCCTTCAAGACTAGCTTACTATTTTTACCTTGTTCGCAGGTTGCAGAGAAAGTATGAATTATTTTTTACAATTTTATTCCAGGAAGAATCGGCAATAAAAGGATTGAATTGATATTCAATGGAATAGACATCAACTCCTGAATTTCATTTTGTTTTCCCAACTGTCATTTCCGATAACATCAAGAGCGATGTCAATCAAAGTTCTCTTGAATCATCTAGAACAGGATTTATCAGATAAAAACAAATTATCTGGTTCGAACAAATGCCAAATTGTAGCGTAAAAAGCTTAAGTTATCGTTTTGATTGCTAATAGATGTGATGGCATTTGTGGTCAGGGACTTAACATTTAAACCATTTTACGCTGGGTAAGCCTCTGGGCTTTGTATTGTAATAGTTAGTGTAAAAAGTCAGCCGCTGGGCTTGTATTATAACAATAGGTACAAAAAGTAAGTCCCTGGGTGTCGATTTGTAAATTTGAAGGTACAAAGCGAAGAAATTTCGTGATTAGAGATGTTCGCTAAAGTGTCTTGACAAATATATGAAACTGTTAAAAAGCCAAGAAAATGAGACTGGAGATTGAAAACAGGTAAGACAGAGAAGTGAACTATTCACCCACTGTTGTGGTAAAACAAATTTTTATTATGCGTGTGTAACGGTCTGTATTTTATATTTAATAAATTTAGTAATGTTCCCGTTTTGTGTTTAGGTCACATATACTGTTAGAGATAACACCAAAGAAGTAGTATATTTTGTGCGTTACTTCTTCAGGGCCTAGGCCATCGCTCCACCAACGAGTTGGTTATTAACGGGCTATTCACCGTCATAACAAGAACCCTGGTCGTTACACCTGAGTGCGTGAATAGACATTCGCGCATGACCTGTGAATCAGCATAACTCATGGCGTGGTTGCGTGGAAATGAGTTCTGCAAGCGAATTTCCAAATGGAGTGCTTTCGTTTTAACAAGTCTTGGTTTCCGGTACCAGACCAGGTATTAGTACGCGCCGACAATCAATAATGACTATAGTTTATATCACAAAATTTTTAAAATCAATAAAAAAAATGTTCAAAGCTTGCACTTTTTCAAGTGGCTGATAAGTCCGATTCCGACATGGCAGTCTTTCCCACATTTACATATGAAGTCACTTCTGATGTTATCCTGACACACTTTTTCTTCTCTTTTTCGATGTCTATCCTTGTGTTTTCAGCATGCTTGTTACCAGCACGGATTTGTTGCCTTCATGCCGGCCAATCGGTAGCAAGAAACTCCCAATCGTCTATGTCAATACTTGAGGCTTTAAGATCACGTTTGCACACATCCTTGAAGCGTAGGAGTGGCCGTCCGGTGGTACGAGATCATTTTGGAGTTCAACATATAAAAGTTGTTTTGGGATTCTATCAATTTCCATTCTTTTTACGTGCTCAAGCCATCTGAAACGACGATGGCTGAGCATTGACTGAATACTGGTGGAATTTGCTCTTTTCAAGACCTCAGCATTAGGTCTTGTCTTCCCAGTGGATTCCCAGGATTCTTCTCAAGTGGCGTAGATGGAAGCTATTCAGTTTAGGTTCTTCCTTACTGTAGATATTCCACGAATCACTACCATACAGAAGTGTACTAAGTACAGATGCTTTATAGACTTACATTTTGGTATTGATGGTAAGATTTCGGTTTTTCCAGACTCTCTCTTCTAATTTTGAATAGGCTGCCGCAGCTTTCACTGTTCTTGCATTTATTTCGTCTGTAAGGAAGAGGCTACTTGATATTGTTGATCCCAAGTAGTTGAATTTGTTTACATTCTCAAGCTCGTTTCCATCGATTTTCATGCTTGTATTTGGATCTGTTACTCCTTGAGCAAGTATCTTCGTCTTCTCGATTCTTATTGTCAGACCAAAGGCCTTACATGCATGGGATAGCTTGTCCATTAGCTTCTGCAGATCAGCTTCAGAATGTGCCACTATGGCAGCATCATCAGCAAAGAGAAGATCTCTAATTAGGGCTGAGAGTACCTTGGTCTTAGCATGTAGGTGCGCTGTGCTGTAGAGTTTGCCATCACGGGTTCGGATGTAGATACCTTCTGAAGGGTTACCAATGCGTACATTAACATAAGAGCGAAGAATATTCCATACAGGGTTGGAGCTAATACATCTCCCTGTTTAACTCCACTCTCAATGCTGAAGGGTTCAGATGTATTCCCATCAAAAGTAACAGTACCTTTCATTGTTTCATTGAAGGATTTTATTATGCTGAGCAAGGTGGGGGGGATAACCTATTTTTCAAGTAGTTTAAACAGTCCACTTCGGCTTACTAGGT